GGTCAGTGCAGCTCCCGCACCTCCCGCACGGCCCCGCCTGTCACACGCGCACACTCCCCTCAGCCATCGGCCTGGGGCAGCTCTGCCCACCTGAGATAATCACCTCCTTCCTCCTGCTCCTCTTCCTCTTGTTGCTTTTACAATCTCCATCTCCTCCTCTGCCCTGCAGGGGTCCCAGAGGCATCTCCCCCCTCCCAGCCCAGCTCTGCACCCTCGGAGCCCCCAGGCTTCGTTTACACTCACAGAGCCACCGGCCCCATCTTTAATGTCTTCTCTTGCTGCTACTTGTCCTTCCCTTTGGACTCGGGCTGGCTCGGGGAGGGGGAGGTGAGGGGGGTCCCTGGACCCTGGGTTTGGCTCCTGGTGCAGCTGGGAGGAGCAGCTTTGCTCTCAGCCATCATCTGACCAGCACCTGTGCCCCGGGTGCTGCTGTGCCCCATCCTCTGTGCTCCTGGGACCTTCCTGCTCCCTGGGGCTGGGGGCTCTAGCCCCTCCCCATGTACAATCACCTGTGCCCCTCACCTGTGTCCCTTCCCCAGTGCTGGCATCATGTTGGGACCGCGAATGTCTCCTCTTGGGGGGCTCCTGGCTGACCCTCCCTTCCCGTAGGGCCCAGGGCAGTGGCTGTGGAGCAGCTCTGCCCTCACCCCCTCTTGCCCCGGGCTGAGCCCCTGCTGGGGGCTGATCATGGCTTTTAAAACACCCCCACATTCCCGTGGCCCCAGGGCTGGCCCTGCTCCCCCTGCCCGGTGCCCTGGGGCCAGTGAGGGGAGGGCTGTCCTGGGGGGCTCAGCCCCAGCAGTTCTGCTCTAGCCCTGCCCTTCCTGCCTGGGCTGTGCAAAGCAATAACCGCCCTCTGGAGAGCGGGGCCCACCCTGGACTGGCCTCTTGGCTTGGCCTTGGAGTTTTTGCCCCTTTCAGCAAGTCTGAAAGCGGCAGAGCTGGCACTGGGGGCAGCCCAGCTCAGCCCTGTGCTCTGCCCTGGGCTCTGCTCTGGACTCTGCCCTGGGCTCTGCTCTGGGCTCTGCCCTGGGCTCTGCCCTGGGCTCAGCCCTGCCCTGGGCTCTGCTCTGGGCTCTGCCCTGGGCTCAGCCCTGCTGGCTCTTCTATGCTGTGTTTTAATGCTGCTGTGCCCCCGCCCTCCCATGCTTGGCTGGGGGGCATGAGAGGGTCGCAGGGGTGGGATGGCAGCTCTTTGGGGTCACCAGGAGCTGGCAGGGGTGGGATGGCAGCTCTTTGGGATCACCAGGAGCTGGCAGGGGTGGGATGGCAGCTCTTTGGGGTCACCAGGAGCTGGCAGGGGTGGGATGGCAGCTCTTTGGGATCACCAGGAGCTGGCAGGGG